CAACATAGATTTCTCTTAAATTCCATGTTTCCAAGCCACTGTAGTTAATTTTTTTAATTGCTTATCAAACTAAAATACACTAGAATAAAATTAAAATGATTTAATTCACTTAAAATAAATTATTAATATGTATGCAAATATGAAGAATAGATGCTTAACTCAAGAACAAGCTAAAACAGAGCAAATTTTCTTCTGTTTGAGAGGTATAATCATGCTTTGTATTCAGTCCAGTGGCAACACTGCCAGAAATGCTGCTTCTCACAAATACTAAAACACCGAAGAGAAAATTACTACAGTTAATTTAGATTTTGACTGCTTGCACTTTTATTTTAATTTTAGCAAAACTGTTTCTAAAGCCTGGTATTTAACCATTATTCTAGATTTATACAACCAGATCTTTTAGAAATTATGTTGGGAGAGTGTTAAGGCATCTAAATAGGCCTATAAAATATTGGCTTATTTTCTTACCAGCAAAGGCTCTGCGAAGGCAATAATTCTGCTATTTAACGTCTAAGAGACTAAAGCTCTGAAAATTGTTATTATTGCAGAGCAGAAAACATTAGAATATTTTCAGTTTTACTGAAGCTTTTATCCATATTTATATCCAGCACTTAAATACATTACGATATGTACCGTTATGTCACAGAGATAGTTTGCATTATTTGTGTGGCTTTTAGTTTATAATGATGTCAAGCCTGTACAGATTCATAAAAAAGATAGGAATCTAGGTGCATTTGCCATAGCAAGGACTGTAACTCATTTCCAGCTGAAAGACAATGATCAGTATTATGAAATAAAAAGAAAGATCTAAGAAAAAGTACTTCTACTTTACAAATAAGCAACACATTTAAGAAATTGTGTTCTACCTAATCAGTATTTTGAATGAGATGGTTCCTATTCAAATAGCTTCTCAAATTATCTGTAAGCAAACCCTAAAATCCAATATATTTTAAAATATCTGTCTTTTCCAGATGATCATGAGATTGGTACAACTGATTTTGATCCAACAGAAAGCAGTCATTTTGATTAGAGTTAAGAGAAGAGAATGTGTAGGCAAAAAGTCTGAGAAAAAGCATTGGATACTATACAATGAATAAGGCAATGTAGAAGGTGTCTTGAAATTACATATCTTTTAGACTAACTCAGTAAAGAGTTTTCTTCCAAACTATTTCTTAACTATAATAGTTACTTTGCAACACAAATTTTACTTTACCTTTAAATGCAATTACCTTAGAACAATTTTTTGTGTGTGCCTTGGTTTGTCCGGAAACAGTTTGTACTAATTTTTTTTCATTAGTCACTACATTTAGAGAAAAGCTAATCTACTCTGATCAAAACTGGAATTAGGGAGTGAGAAAGCTACCTTCTGTCTCAGCAATACCCTCCCCATTTCCTGTTGTGGAGGTCCCAAAGGGTGAGGTTCTAGAACTATGTAGGAAATATACTAAAAATACAGATTCCCAGCTCTATTCCCTGAGATTTTGATCCAAGTGTTTCAGATTCTGCATTTAAACATATTGTATATGTATAAATTTTCAGTGGTCTTTGATCCACATTCTGAAAATCTTTCCTAATTCTTCTATGAGCACAGTTAGAAACTACTAATCTAGAATATGCATACAACATTCCATATGAACAATGAAGTGTACAGGACTTAATTTTGCCTGAGGAGATGGTTTCATACTCCTAAGAAATCTTAATATTAAACCTTGTTTAGCCAATAGATGGACGTTTAGTCAAACAAAATGGATTTGAAAGGCGCAGGACTCAAAACTTTGTTCTCCTTGGCTTCCAGCAGTAAAAATTAATAAATTGGGTCAAACAAAGGCTTTTCCTATGAGATAAACATAATCATAAAATTTACGGTACTTAGCTGTAAACCAATTTATGTACTACAGTAAAATCACCAGGGTTAAAAGACTTGGCCAATTAAACTGATTGTGGAGGTCAGAGTACAGGATCTGAGATTTTATAAAATTACAAACCAGAAGTAATCATTACATAACACTTCCAAACCTACGCTATTCTAAATATATTTAAACTTAAATTAGCTACAAGGCTCAGCTGTTAGGTCATCCAGATATCTTGATTCAATGATAAGCAAATAATAATTTTTTAAAGAAAATTCTCAGCTGAGTAAAATTAATGTTTTGGCAAGTTCCCTAAGAAGTTCCTGGAGCATGAATGGGTATTCACTCATTTTTCTCCTACTATTTTTCTAGATTATGGTTCTTTTTCCAAAATTCTAGGAAAATAACTTGTCTACTAAATGTTCCCTCTAACTGCATAAGCTAAAGGAAATGGAAAGTTCATCCAATCCCAGTCTTAAAAGAACAGGCTAATTGCAACTGACAAAATTTATATGGAATGGATTTTATTTTTCACTGGATAGTTGAGAATATTTATTTCTATATGCCTTGATTTCAATCCTAGGAAAAAAATCATGCCAAGTGCTCTTAGTTGGGCCCTGCTGAGCAGGATGAAGGGAGAATCCACTCACTGGGCCCTGTGCTAAGGTCATGGCTGCACAGAAAAAGCCCTAGGGCCAGCCCAGGTAGCCTAGTGGTTAAGTTCAGCATGCTCCACTTTGGCGGTCTGGGCCTGGTTTCTGGGCACCGATCTACACCACTTGTCTGTCAGTGGCCATGCTGTGGTAGCAGCTCACATACAAAAAGAGGAAAATTGGCAACAGATGTTAGCTCAGGGAGACTCTTCCTCAGCAAAAAAAAAAAAACCCTACAAGGAGAGATTACTTTTTCAAATTCACATAAAAGTGTTGAATGAACTAGCTGTGAAGAATGGTGTTACCCTCCCACAAACAAACAAGCAAAAAGTAAGATGGAATCCTTATTTTAGACCACAGAGTTCACTTCAGATCCTCAAGTACAAAGATTAGTCCATTAAAGTGTGAACACAGAAGGGTAGAATGTCACTTGGAGTAGCTCTTTAGCTATTACCATTCATTTTCATGATGAAAAACACATGTTAAGACCTTATCTAAGATTCAACTACACAAAGAAAACTTCCCTGCACATTCTTACTCCGCCATGACTTTTCTAGACTTTTTATTGCTTCAGTAAGTGTATGAAGTGAAAGAACATTTTGAAATATACTAATGTGCTTTTTTTCCTTTGCACTTGCTTATGAATAATCTTCACACACCTGAGCCAGAAGCAATCTTTGCCTTAGGGAGAAGTGGAAGCACGGAATGTGAAGAGAAAGAACGAATTGGCATAGAGCTTTTTGATTTTCAAAATTGGTCTGGGAAACTATTTCAGACATAATGGCCTTAAAAACCTGGCTTTAAATTTCTAGAGCCAGACATCTGAGAGGGAAAAGCATTTTCTAAGTTAGAAAGCTTACTTTTAAATATACAAAACAAAATCTGGAGAGCTGAACTTGGAGTTTTACTATAAGCCATAGAGAAGGATATACTATGCATAAGAATTCTTTCTTACCACAAAGTAAAAAATGTCAAACATTCCTTGGCTGGGGAAGGAGCTTAGACAGAAGGGGAGAGGAAGGCAAGAGGAGAGGTAAGCTTAGGGCCTGCTCCTTTCTCCATGATCCCTTGTCATGTAGAGCACATCTCTTAAACACTATCTGAATATTAATTATTACTATCTAAAATATATTTAATTTTGTGCCTTGTAGCTTATAATTATAAAATATAAGTATATTGATACTGATCATCAACTAAGTCATTGAACAAATAATTATTGAGACCTATTATATTTCAGCCACCAAGAAATAATGCAATAAATTGGGAAATCAGAGCCCTCGTGATTCCCCAGGGAATTTCAAGTCTATTGGAGAGACAAACAAGCTAAAGCCAATTCTATTACCTGGCTTATAATATGTTGCTATACTTCTCTTTATACCGTTACCACTTAGAAGTGAGATTCTAGTCTGCCTTTTTCTTTATGGAAATATATATTATTAGGAAGGTGTGGTCTATTTGTATGAGCCATAGAAGCTTTTGGAAATCATCCTTTCTTTTTTCATGAGTCAGAAACAGCCCAAGGAAAATCTGTATACTGAAATTTCAAAAAGTACTTGCCAACCGTCAAATGTGATCCAAACAAAGCCGTACTAATATCTACTACTCTATAGTTTGGGCAACTTGGCTGCTAACGTTTAAATCAAATGATGGTAAAATTGGAATCATTTTAATAGAAGGAAAACAACAACAAAAGAGAGCTCAGAAAACCAGGGTGAAAAAGTCAGCCTAGGAAAGGAAAATCATTGTACACTGAAGATACTGTGGCTCTCCTTCAGCACTAGGTCACGTTGGCCGAGGCAATGATGAACTGGACAGCGGACACCCCATTAGTTTTCTTTGAAGCAGCAGCCATAGAAGCTGGAAGTCATGAAGCTTTCACTGTAGAGAGGTATGAAGGCATAAAGGTTTTGAAAAGATTTTCTGTAATATAAACTGGGATTCCTTTGTTGTCTTCAGTAACATTTCCTTGAAATCATTAAAAGAAGGAAGGATGAGATCTTGTAGGACAGTGAGCACTCAATATATTTGTGGACTACAAAACAGGGGAAAGGTATAAATTATTGAACTTTGAAAGAAAAGACCAAAATAAATGACAATAAAGAGCAAAGACTGGAAGAACAGGGAAATGACCAAGAAGGTAGAAAAAGAGCAGGAAAAGGAGAAAAAAGGGAGGAGGGGACTGGGGGGAGGGAGGAATAAATAGATAATTTTAAAATAACATATTAACCGTGCTTTTAAATGTATGGCAATATTAGAAAATATTTTTCTTTACTTATTCATGCTTTTCTCTAGTTTCTATGATTTCCACAAGAGCATTTGCTCTTTTTAAAATTTTTTTCAATTTTATATGAGAGAATGCACTTAGTCCTCTTATTCCGTAATTTAAACATTCATCTTTTCAATAGCACCGGCCTGGGGTAAAGGTGGTGGGGTAGGAATTTGGGAATCGCTTACTCTTAGTTCCTAAGAGACATGTTCAAAATATGTGGTCACTTACGTTGTATGATCCATGGATGGCCTGTGGCTTTCTTCCCCATGATGAATACTGGTTCCGTTACCAAGGCCCCACCTGAATGTGTTTGAATCTTGAATTAAATTTTCTGGAATTGGCTGATACCATTTACACAGGCTTCCTTTTTCAAAGCTGCAAACTTCCATAGCTTGAATAGGATGGAGCAAAGACAAGATGAGTTAATCACAATAAATGTGTCAATAAATGGTGATTTCTATCTGCAGGAGCACTTTCTTAGTCTTGGGGTTTTTTTTTTTTTTAATTACAATCTAAATTTTAAGCACAATTAAAAAAATTAGCCAAGTGGTTTATATAATGACTAAAAGAGTTTTAAAGAAATCTGGGTGTATTATATTCAAATATCTATAGTAACTGAAATATGGGAATAAATGTATAGAATAAAACATCTCTTTTCAAAAGGAGGTAGGATTTTAATTACCTTCTAAAGCAGCAGTTTAAGCACTGCCAGTCTCTCCTGACATAACACTTACATTGCTTGCGTGACCCCCAAGTTCTGATGAATCTATCTCTTTTCCACAATAACATTACAAAGCAAAAAAGCTCAGCTCCAAAGGTGTCATTCCAAATTCCAAACTACTTAAGTTCAAAGCAATAAGATTGACAATAACTTTTATATTGGATCTTTCCTTGAAAGTTTTCAATGTTCTTGTAATGATTGTATTCTAATATCACACAAAATTACAAGTCCAGTAGTTTTTTAAATACATAGGTTACGTGTGAAAATGCTCTCTCTCTCTCTCTTTCTCCCTGAAAGTGTTCAGGTGTCTGTCTGTCTGTCTTAAATCCTCCACTACTTGAAGAAAGGATCCAATTCAATTAGTTCTTGTGGATACTATAAAAAGCTTGATGCGCATTCCAGCTTTTAAATGGCATAAACAGTGATGGCATACCACTACCACCACTTAGAAATTTGTGTTCATGATTTTTTTTTTAAGATTTTTTTATGTTTCCTTTTTCTCCCAAAACCCCCTGGTACACAGTTGTGTATTTTTAGTTGTGGGTCCTTCTAGCTGTGGCATGTGGGATGCCACCTCAGCATGGCTTGATGAGCGGTGCCATGCCCGCGCCCAGGATTCGAACTGGAGAAACCCTGGGCTGCCAAAGCAGAGTGTGTGAACTTTACCACTTGGCCATGGGGCCAGCCCCTGTGTTCATGATTTAATGTAAAATTTGAGATGGAAATACTCTCTGAAAAAAAGTTATTGTAACCATGACATTCAGGTGTGTTATTTAATCTCTGATGTTAATATTGATCACATAATTGTATTTATGTTGTAAAGGCTTTAGGATTCAATAGAATCCTGTTCTTTATTGTTAAAAAAGATAAAAATTGTAAATGAAAAAAAAAACCAATCAGATGGCATAAAGTTTCAGCTAAGCAAGATGCATAAGCTCTAGAGATCTACTTTACAATATTGTACCTATAGTAACAATAATGTATGGTACGCTTAAAATTTTTTTAAGAGGGTAGGTATCATGTTACATTCTTACTACAATAAAAAAATTAGAAATTTATATTGTAAGCCTGTAGATGACAGGCAGATTTATCATAATATGTCACCTTACAATGAGATAGAGGAGGCAAGATCACACAATTTGCTCAAATAAAATGGTGGTAATTTAATCCATGGTTTTAAAAAATAAATAAATATATCCATAATTTAAAAATAATAATTTAATAGTAGACACTCATTCAAGACATTTAAAAAACTTAACTTCCCATCTAATCATAAATGACATCACTAAAATGGCCAAGTTGAACTAAAAAGAAAGTCAGTGTTCGTTAAAGACACTCATTAGGTGTAATTAATTAAACTTTGTGCAAACTTTCACAAACACTACAGCTAATGCATGATCATGAGAGGATCTTAGTCTCTTCCAGTGGGAAAGTCTGAATATCCCAACATCTTTCATTATATTATCTTCCATCTGTGATGCACAATATATTTATATCCCTGGCCAACTTGAGTTAATTACTGTCCCATCTCATTCACAGAAGGAGTCAGCTTTGATTTTATGAGTTTTTTGGTCTGGATTAATTAGTTAATATATTTTGTATTTATATATTAAGAGGCATTTTTTATGAGCTAAAAGAATAAATATGAAGCTTGATTTTAAGTTCTAGAATTTCCTGTCAAGGCTGACATAAGACAAATTAGAATTTCACTATACTCTATATTACCTGTATGTTCTAAGCCCTTAATAATATCAAGACACTTGAGAAATATTACAGTACAGTAAATTCACATATTACTCAATAAAGAGCAGAAAAGGGGAAAAATGACAAAATTTTCAGTCCTTCTGATATTGTGCTTTGCCCATTCAGACACAGATTAATTTTTCTCTTCTCAGACTGTATCTTTGGCTGCGGAGTTCACTTTTAAATGAAATAATTTGCCTTTGATCTATTGTGGAAGAGCTGTGGATTGGCAGGTGCCAGTAAATGAAAATCATCTTTCAACAGGACACAGGTGTTGAAGGGCCTATGTGTGTTAGAATTGGTTTTCTTACAAACTGCATATTTGACATCGTATTCATTTCAAATGTGCATTTTGGCAATGGCAAAAATTTGAATGAATTCATCTAATTTGAGGGTGTTATTATGCTTCCTCCCTAAACATTTCTATTTCATGAGTGTGAGGAGTAGAACAGAGACAAATGGGGGATTGGAGAGCAGAGCTAGTAAATGACAGCCTTGGAGCCTAATAAAGTCCATGAAAACAACTGTTTTGAATCTGAAACATTAATTTAAAGATGTTTATCTCTTGTAGAACACAATAGAAGAATGCATGCTGACTCCTAGTGTAATTTTCTATACAAATAGCTTTTATATTAAGAAATTTCTCTAGACTAGGTTGAAAATTTCTACCTAGTACCCTAGGCCATGTTAGTTAGATTATGCTGGTATTTTCTTACCTGTTGCATAGCTGTGTTTAACACAAAATTTAGGAATTCACCTACCACAGGATGACTCATCGGATTTGTCAGGGCAGTCATATCTAAAATCACATTTCTGGATTTTTTCAACACAGTGACCACTGGGCCTGCAAACAAATTCATTGTCTGTACAGTTGTGTGGAGGTAATGTTACTGGAACTGAAGTTTCTGATGGAGTTGGGAGGTCCACTGGCAAATTACCTTAATAAGACATAACATACAGGTTTCATTTAGCAGATTTTCCATTTCCTTAAAGATTTCACAAATCAAGAATTTCTAAGTATGATTTATATTCAACATTATAAAGAATACTTAATAGTATTTGCTAATCTGCTGAACTTCTTTACGTAAGCATGTAAGTTGGGATCTCAGTCTTAGCAATGACAAATACTGCTGGGTATCTTTGATTATAAAAATAGGTGAAGGTGCAGATGGAAGTCATTCAAAAATTATTCACAGCTCACTGAATAAATGGGAGGCTCAAAGACAGGACTTGGAAGATCAGCAGGAGCCACGGGAGTTCCAGATGCTGACATTAGGAACCAGAGTCAAGGTCAGGTTAAACCTTCTAGTCCACCAGGTAAATAAACATTGTTCTCCCACTGCTACAATGAATCTAATGTCTCCTTATCTGTGTCATATATTCAAAATTCAAGGTTTCACGAGAGACCCACACCAGAAGTATTTACCTAGAAGTATTTAAATAATTAAGATAATAATTTCTGAAATTACAGAGTTTAGAGGGAATTTAGAAAACTAATTTATACAGTAAGTTATTCAATAAAGATGTATTAATAACATCCCTGTGTCATGTACATGGTAGGTGAAATGCATGCAAAGCCAAATATGTCATTACTGCCATAAAATAGTTTACAGACTAGTGGAAAGGCAGTCAGGTAAATCTTTCATCACAGTTTTGTGGGATAAGTTTATGATAGAGATTATAACTCCATGGAAGCAAAAATGACACCTATCCTTTTACTCCTGTATTCATAGCACAATTCACAGACCATGGCAGGCACACTATCATTGTGAAATGAGTAGATAGATAGACAGATGTATGGAAAGATGGATGGATGGACGGATGGATGGATGGACGGATGGATAGATGGATGGATGGATGGATAACAGAGTGAATGAATGAATGAAGAGATGGACAGATGGAAATTACAGTGTATTAAGAAAACACAGAAAAAGCACATATCAGATGGGAGATGGGGAAGACTTCCTGGAAAGGTGATGTTTAAACTAAGTTTTTATTTCTAAAGGATGATGAATTGCTGGCTAGATGAAGAAAGGTACAAGGTCTTTTTAGGCACTGAGAAAAGGCTTGTGTGAAGGCAGAGAAATATATCGGCCTGTTGTTTCTGGAATACTGTGAGTGTTTGGTACGGAGAATATCTTGTAAGAATGCATGTGATGGAGTCATTAGATGTGGGACTAGAGAGGAGACAGTTACCAGATCATAAAGACCTAAGTGGGATCAACTTAGCTGTTTGAAATAAATACAAAAAGCTGTGGAGAAATGCCAAGATATAAAATTTCCACTTCAAGAAATACTTTTTTGGCGTTAGTGTGGAGAATGACTTGCAGGTGGTTCTGACATGGAGCAGAGAGAACAGTTAAGCTTTTACTTTAATTCCAGGCAACTAATAAACCAAAGCAGAGATGGTTTGTAGGGTAGAAAGCAAAGACCTGAGCAATGTCAAACATTCAGTATCTAAAGAACTGGGGATTTGGGTTCTCTTGGGAATTTGAGGAAAGTCCAATAAATAGCACCTTATTTAACTTAGCTCAAGTTTTGAAGCAATTAAGAACTAAAACTGAAGTGTATGGCAGAGAGTAGATCAAAATATCAACTTTTTACAGATGAAGTTGATACTAAAGAAAATGATCTATATCCGTAAACAAGTGGTCTTCTAAATTGTGAAACTCAGAAATAAACACACTCTCTAAGTTATAACCTGTGCTGGAAACTTCCAACCATCCCTGTATGGGAGCCTACCATTGTGAACTACAGCAAGGAGGAGTTGAGTGAATCTCATGCTTCCTTCAGTTAACTAGCTCAAAAAAGAAAAGAGGAAATTTAGGGACCAGGTGTGCATGCTCAGGCTCTCCTTACAAACTCAATAATCCATTGTTGCTTTTCCATAGTTTACAGCAGGGTTCACTCTTGGTGTTTTCTTTCTATGGGTTTTAACAAATGCATAATGACATGTTTCCATCATTACAGTATCGTACAGCATAGTTTCACTGCACTAAAAATCCTCTGCGCTCTGCCTATCCATCCCTCTCCCTAATCCCTGGCAAACATTGATTCTTTTACTGTCTCCATAGTGTTTCCTTTTCCAGAATGTCATATGGTTGGAATCATGCAGTATGCAGCCTTTTCTGATTGGCTTCTTCCACTTAGTAATATGCATTTAAGTTGACTCTACGTCTTTTCATGGCTTAAAAGCTTGTTTCTTTTCAGCACTAAATAGTATTCATTGTCTGATGTACCATAGTTTATTTATCCATTCTCCTACTGAAGGCCATCTTGGTTGACTGAGCATCTTTTCACATGCTTATTTTCTGTCTGTTTATCTACTTTGATGAGATGTCTGTTCAGATTTTTGCCCATTTTTTAACCTGGCTGTTCATTTTCTTTTTGTTAAGCTTAAAGAGTTATTTGTATATGTTAGATAACAGTCCTTTATCAGATATCTCTTTTGCAAATATTTTCTCCCAGTCTTTGGTTTGTCTTCTTCTCTTGACAATGGCTTTCACAGAGCAGAAGTTTTTAGTCTTAATGAAAGTTCAATTTATCAATTATTTCTTTCATGGATCGTGGCTTTGGTAGAGTATCTAAAAAGTCATCACTATAATCAAGGTCATCTAGATTTTCTTCTATGATATCTTAGGAATTTTATAGTTTTGCATTTTATATTTAGGCCTACAATCCATTTTGAGTTCATTTTTGTGAAGGGTGTAAAGTATGTCTAGATTTATTTTTTTACATGTGGATGTCTAATTGTTCCAGCACCATTTTTTAAAAAGACTATCTTTTCTCCATTGTATTGCCTTTATTCTTTTGTCAAAGATTAGTTGACTATATTTATCTGGGTCTATTTTTGGCTTTCTATTCTCTTCCAATGATCTATTTCTCTATTCTTTTAGCAATAACACAGTCTTGATTACTGTAGCTTTATAATAAGTCTTGAAGTCAGATAGTGTCAGTCCTTCAACTTTGTTCTCCTTCAACAATGTGTGGCATATTCTGGGTCTTTTGCCTCTCTATATATACTTCAGAATCAGTTGTTCTATATTCACAAAATAACTTGCTGAGATTTTGATTGGGATTGCATTAAATCTATAGGTCAAGTTAGAAAGAACTAACATCTTGACAATAATGTCTTCCCTCATGCATGTTTTTTTTTTGTTTTTGATGAGGAAAATCGGCCCTGAGCTACATCTGTTGTCAATCTTTCTCTTTTTGCTTGAGGAAGATGGTCCCTCAGCTAAATCTGTGCCAATCTTCCTCTATTTTTTATATATGGATGCCACCACAGCATGGCTAGATGAGCGGTGTGCAGGTCCACACCCGGGATCCAAATCTGCGAATCCCAGGCCACGGAAGTGAAGCAGGAGAACTTAACCACACTGCCACCATGCTGGCCCACCTCTTGCATGTTTTTGTATCCTTATCTCAAATATGTATTTTCTATTTAAGATATACACTATCATTTTGTGACTTAGAAAATTTTATATAAATATTATTTATCATATTTCTTTTGAAATTGCAATTTTTTTCTCAACATATTTTTCAGATTTATCTCTACTGATACATGCAGAATTAATTCATTCAATTTAACTGCTTGAGGGTATTCAATTAAGTGAATACCCAGAGTTAAAAACTGATTGTATGAATAGTCTGCAGCTGGTGTATTTCTTCTCAAGCGGGACAGTAAGATTTTTTATACACTTTTCTTATTATAAAGTGTGCTACAATGGACATCTTAATACTTTTCCCTTCCAGAGTATTTTAAAGACAAGGCAGCTTGAAATAAAATTGTAGTTATAGGGTATGTGACCGGTCAACTTAATTGTTTTCAAAAGTGTTTTTGCCCATTTCAACCCAGAAATGTGTGCATTTCTCATATTCTCATATTCCAGCCAATACTTGACATTATCAGATTTTATAAATGTTTGCCTGTGTAATGGGACTGAAATAATAATTCCTTGAAATTTTAACTTGTTTTGCCCTAATTATTGAGACATCCTTTTATAATTTTAGGGGCCACTCAGGTATCTTATTCCAGCTTTTGACTAATGTTCACATCCCCTCCTCTTTTTTTCTACTGAATTCATTGTCTTTTTCTTATTAATTTACATGTTTATATCTATATACTCTATACTAATCCTCTGTCATTTGTCTACGTGACAAATATTTTCTCCTAGTCTATGATACATCTTTTCATTTTGTGTGGTCCTTCAAAATAAAAAAATTCTAATTTTAATGTTTTTTACTTTATAAGTAATTTCCTTTATGGTTTGTGCTTCAAAGTTTCACTGAAAAAAATTCCTCCTTGTTCTAATATCATAAATATATTTTCCATAATTTTCATAAATTTTGATAGTTTTACTTTTCCCATTTAGATCTTTACTCCATCTGGACTTTATTGTTATCTATTGTCTGGGATAAGAATCTAAATTCAACTTTTTTCATATGAATGGCCAATTTCTGATCTATTAATCTATTGAGCAACTCAAATTTTTCTCACTTATTGTTTTATATTTTATTATGAAATGTGTTATACACACATAAAATTGGATATAAATATATGCCTGGTTTAAAGAATAATAATAATAAAAAGAATCTCCATAAATCTATCATCTAGCTTATGAAATTAAAATTCACAGACAGTTTTGTACCCTCCAACGTTTCCCTGCTGATTTCATGCCCTCATTGCCATCTCTCCAGGTTAGCAGTACACTGAATTTTGTGTTTTTAATTTTTTTGCTTTCATTTGCTTTTACCCTTTTTCTCATTTGCGTATAGACCAAATAATCTCTTATAGTTTCTATTTATTAGATCATTATGTGATTAAATGAGTTAACATTGTGAAATTATTAGAATGGTGACTGTATACATGGAGCCCCATGTAGGTCTTTTTAAATAAATAAAATGTTACTCAGATTTGAAGTTTAGGTTTATGAAC